CAACGAGCTGAGACTCGGAGAGGTTAGGTCACCTGACCCAGCAGTGAAGGCTGAACTGGAACCCGAGCCCCCTGGAGGACTACAACTTTTAAGAGTATACATCTATGAACAGTGAGGCTGTGTTATGATGTTCAGATTAGGTGTTCCCCCTCCCCACCTCCACCCCACTCTCCATTCCCAGCATTTTCAATGCAACAGCAATGTCTCTGTTTTTTGTTTTTTCCCCCAGAATTTTGCACTTCTCCCAACCCTAGAACCCCTTCAATCCCCTCCACCCCCACAGTGGACGCATCAGGTCCGCGGCCCTCACCTGGGCCGGTCGAGATCCGGACCTGACCATCTCTCGCAGCCTCAGAGAAACCCAGACCGACGGAAGCAAAGCCGCACGGTAAAAGGAATTAACCGCCGCGGACTCCCAGCTCCCGTTGGCCCGCCCCCCGGGCTTCCGCTTCCGGGAAGGAGCCCGCGGCATACAGCGACTCATAGTCTCCAGCGCGCCACCGAGGCCTCTGGCCTTCTCCTAGCCCGGCGTACTGGGCTTGCGCAATAGACCCCCTCCTGGCCCCCGGCCCGTCACACCCTAGGGGTGTTTTGGAGAAGGCTACAAAGCGCAAGCGGGGCGGGGCCAGGGAGGGACCTAGTAGGGCGGGGCCGGCGCGGAGGGGCGGGGCCGGCGCGGAGGGGCGGGGTGAGGAGTTCGGGCTCTGGGCTGGGAGGAGTCCCCACTCTGGGCTGAGAACGGCCGAGTTCCTGCACAGCTACCTGGAAGAACTGATTTCGCGGTCCTGCTGCGAGTACTTCTGGTGGAGGATAGCTGCCCTGCATCAGCTGGGGGAAATGCAGACAAGGACCCACCAGGGCCCGAGGGAAGGATGCGGGTAGAGGGCGGATAGGTTTCAGAAAGAATTGCTGTGGGCTCTTGGTTTTGGCTCTTTACTTTTAGTTCGGTGTCTTGTGTGCCATTTTGAATGATTTTCTTCTTGACAGTCAATAAAAATGAATCATTGGTCTCGCTATCTTTGTATACTTCTGGTGGTAATTTCAAAATTATTCACGGTGACCCTTGATCTCATTTGTTGGCATTCTGGTTTTAATTCCATGCATACTGTTCAGTTTAGGTAATTACTGTTAGAAAAGGACACGGTATTCTTACTATGACATGCTGCACGAATTTTAATGGGAATTAGTCTTTGATTTTTAAGGCATTGATTGTTGAGTTAATGTTTTAAATCAAGTAGGGGAAAAATTAACCCAATTGATTCCATTTTTTTAAATAGGAAAAAGAACTACCTTTTGAAAGTCTCAATTACATAAAACAGAAACCCAGAAACTAAAATCTGTCCACCAATATATTGCACATTCATACTGAGTGATTTTTGGGAAACTAGATATTTAATAAATTCAGCTTTGAATTAGATTAGACTGAAACCTCTTCCTTTGTCCTTCATCCCTCTCCTATGTGTTTAATATATTCACCTAAGATTAGATTTTTTTTTCTTAGTTGATTTTAAAAAAACAGGTACTGATTTTTCTTAATTAAAACGTGCTTATTTTAGAAAATATAGATAAGCAAGAAATAAAAATCACTCATATAACCCCACTACCTAGGGACTGCCACTCTTAACAGTTTGGTGCATTCTCTTCTAGGCTTTTTCCAACGGTGTATATACATATATAAATATGTTACAACAATAATATATGATACATATTCCTATAAGTGCTTTGTGTTAATATCAACATTACTTCTCATTAATCTACAACTACAAAATGGCTGCTTGGTGTTCCAGATCCCTACTATTTGGAATTTTATGTTTCCACTCCCTTTTTTTTGTTTGTTTTTTCTGCTGGGTTTTTCCCCCTCTTATTTTAAAGGTAATAACATCTGAGGNATGTCATCCCAAGATAGCTTTGAGCAGAGACTATTAAACATTCTGGAGTTATATATTACTCTAATATTTACTTGAACATATACTCCCGCCTTCTAAGAATGCTACTGAGAATACATTGAAAAAGCTGGGTTGATAGAGTCATATTTCTTGAGATAACTTGGAATATGATGAAGTCATGAAGCCAGCAGTTAGAACCAACATTGTAGGAAATAAGATCCCATGTAGTGTAGCTCCACCGGTCCCTGCATGACACTCTTAGGGTCTTTCCCTTCAATATATCTATGTTGGTATCTTGACCAGAACCATAATAAAAATCCAAACCATGGTGCTGCTAAGTCCAAAAACAACTATCACAATGATTATCTTTCAAAATTTGAAACATTATACTGTCTGCGATAAATGTATAGCATATTTGTAAGATTATAGAGTATTTCTCCAAAAAAATACACACACGGGGTTATAGTATGGTCAATCATGTAAAGAAAATTACAAGGATGAAAACACCCTACACAGTAATTATCATATTGGTACATTTCCTTCAATTTTTTATATTTTTTATTTTGAAATAATAGTACAAAGCACTGTATACACTTCACCTAGATTCAACTGTTGACATTTTAGTACGTATGCCATGTTTTCTTTCAAAATGTATATATAGGTTGCAGACATGATATCCCTTTATATTTAAATATTTACTATTACATATTTCCTAAAAACTAAGTCACTCTCTCATATAACCTGAGTATATTTATTAAAATTGGGAAGTTAACATTGATACCATAGTATAATCTACAGACTTCATTCAAATTTGCCAATTATCCCAATATTGTCCTTTATAGAAAAAAATTCTGGCCCATGTCCAATCCAGAATATGTTGCATTAAGTATCATATCTCTTTAGTCTCCATTAATTCTAAATAGCTTCTTGGTTTGTCATTCATTGTCTTTTACAACCTTGACATGTTTAAAGAGTACAGCCAGTTATTTTGGTAGAATGTCCCCTTGGACATTTAGACATCTGGTGTTCCTCATGATTAGATTCAGGTTGTGCATTTTTAGCAGTAATGCCACAAAAAGGATGCTGTGTCCTCAGCATCATGAATAGGCATATGATGTCAGTTTGTCCCATTACTGGTGATGTAAAGTTTTGATTATTTAAGATGGTGCTTGCAAGGTTTTTCACTGTAAGATTACTATTTTTACCTTTGTAAATATTAAGCATTTTGTGGGGAGATACTTTGAGATTACACAGACATCCTATTCATCAAACTTTTACCCAGTTGTTTTAGCATCCATTGATAATTCTTGCCTTAATCAATTGTTTGTCAAATGGTGATTGTTCTAACTTACATCATTCTTTTTACATTTCTTACTTGGCATTCAACTTCAGCGAAGCACTTTTCCTTCTTCATTTAGTTACTATAGGCTCCCTGATTCCTACTTTATTCAATGGGTTATGATCCATTGTTATTAATTTCGATGCTCAAATTGTCCCAGATTCTGTCAGTATGAATCTCTTCAAACCAGCTCCTGTATCCTTTAACATGTCCCCGTTGGTTTTTGAGCTATCACTTACTTTCTGCAACAAGGTGCTTCAGGCTCATCTTTTTGTTTTTTTTTTAATTGTGGTAAGAATGCTTAACACGAGATCTATCCTCTTAACAAATATTTAAGTGTACAACACAGTATTGTTAACTATAGGCATGATGTTGTATAACATCTCTAGAACTTATTCATCTTGCATAACTAAAACTCTACTCATTGAATAACAACTCCCCATTTCCCTCTCGTTCCGGCCCCTGGCAACTACCATTCTATTCACACTCTCTGCTTCTGTGAATCTATTTTAGGTACCTTATATAAGTAGGATGATGTGATACTTGTTCTTTCTGTGACTGGTTTATTTCACTTAGCATAATACCCTCAAGGTTCATCCATGTTGCATGTAGCAGGATTTCTTTCTTTTTTATGGCTGAATAATATTCCATTGTGTGTATATAGCACATTTTCTTTGCCCATTCATCCATCAATGGACATTTAGGTTGTTTCCACATCTTGGCTATAGTGAATAATGCTGTAGTGAACATGGGAGTACGAATATCTCAAGATTGTTTTTAATTATTTTGGACCAATACCCAAAGTAGGATTAATGTTTTGAGGAACTTTCACATGGTTTTTTATAGCGGCTACAATCTTTGAAATTCCCACCAACAGTGTACAAGGGTTCCAATTTCTCCAAATCCTCACCAACACTTGTTATTTTGGGGCTGCTTGTTGTTGATAATAGCCATCCTGACAGGTGTGTGGTGATAGCTCACTGTGGTTTTGATTTGTATTTCCCTGATTAGTGATGTTGACCATCTTTTAATATGCCCATGGTCATTTGTATGTCTTTAAAGAACTTTCTATTCAAGTTCATTACCCATTTTCTAATCAGGTTACTTTTTGCTCTTGAATTGTAGGAGTTCTTTCCATATTGTGGATATTAACCCTTTATCAGATACATGGCTTAAATATTTTTTTCCCATTCTATAAGTTGTCTTTTCACTCTTGTTTCCTTTGCTGTGTAGAAGCTTTTGATTTTGATGTATTCAGGTTCATTATCTCATCTTATAATTTCTCTGACTCAGCCCTGGAGTTGACCATTTCTCCAAGAAGCCATGGTTCCTTTTTGTGAACAATAGTATTTAGAAACCAAGATCCAGCCACTTGATGTGCTCTTTGCTACTGGGGCTTCCAATCTTTTTTCATATGGATTATCTATTTAGTCATCATGACAAGACAGTTGCAATTTTGCATCTTGTTTTTACTTTTAACTTGTTCTCCATATTAACATAATTCCAAAATTTTTTAATGATTGCATAGCACTTCCTTGAGTGACCCTTCATACAAACTGCAAAACTGCTCTCTAAACTGAGTGCCACAAATCACAGTGTGTGAGAAAATCAGTTTGTTTTTCCTCACATTTTCTTCTGCTAGGTATTATCATTAAACATTTTACTTCGCTATTTGAGAAAAATATAAGCATTTCCTAGTTGTATCTCCACTTAATCCACACCCTGTGAGTTATTATTAGTTCTGAGGTGGGAACCTAAATTTCAGAAAGGTGGTTTATTCAGTCATACATCTTCCAAGTATAGTATAATGTTTACAAGAATGGACTCTGGAACTAGCTCTGTGGATCTGATTCCTGTCTCCACTGCTAACCAGTGTGTAGCTGCAGGGAAGTTATTTGAACATTTCATCCTAATTTCTTCATGGATAAAATGGTGATAACAGTACCTACCTCCAAAGGGTATTATGAAGATTAAATGAGAAATTATATGTAATATGTAAAAGCCCTTACAGTAATAGCTGCCACATTGCTATCTAAATGTTAGCTGCTCTTATTGTTATTAAGATGGTAGTAAAATAAGTGTTTTTGGAGTTGGTTAAGAGCTTGCTCAAGAGTGCGAGCTCTGAGCAACAGTGGTTCGATGCCCGGCCCGAGTTGAGCTGAGCTGCTGCTTGAGCTGCCAACAGGTGGCAGAATGGCTCAGTTAAAAAAAAAAAGTGTTTTTAAGGGGACTCAATTTTGTTGCACATTTATAACAAGT